CTAACCCCCACAGGCCTCCCACTCTAGCACTGCGTCCCTGTAGGCCTTCCAGACCTGGGGCTGCTGCAGACACACGGTGCCCCCCCCCCGCCGTTCCTCCGCCCTGTTCCTGTTGATGTCCCCCACGCAGACCCAGCCGCCCCCCCGCCCTAACCCTAACCCTAACCCTAACCCTAACCCCGCCCCGGGGCTGACCGCCCACTTGGAGTGGTCCTGGCTGGTCCTGAAGGCGGAGGCCTGCCCGGGGCGGATCCGCTGGACGTCCCACACCCTCCAGCCCAGAGAGCAGTTGGAGGGCAGGACCCCGGGGGACCGGATCCAGAACTGGACCAGGAGGTCCGACTTTAGGGCGGGGGCCACCCAGGAGTGGTACAGGTCTGAGGGAGAGAGAGAGAGAGAGAGAGAGAGAGAGGTTCTGTTTTGGGAATTGTTGGGTTTCTGTAATTAACTTCAGAGTAGGGTCTGACCTGCTCTGTTTGGAAAGTGCTGTGAGACAACTGTTGTTGTCATGTGGCGCTATATAAATAAAATAAAATTGAATTGAATTGAATTTAGCCAGAACCCCCAAACTGAGAAAGCCTGTCGTATTTAGCCAGAACCCCCAAACTGAAAAAGCCTGTCGTATTTAGCCAGAACCCCCAAACTGAAAAAGCCTGTTGTATTTAGCAAAAGAAAGTTTTTCCTTGCCTGTGTCGCCCAGTGCTTGCTCATGGTGGGAATTGTTGGGTTTCTGTAGTTAACTTCAGAGTAGGGTCTGACCTGCTCTGTTTGGAAAGCGCTGTGAGACAACTGTTGTTGTGATGTGGCGCTATATAAATAAAGTTGAATTGAATTGAGTTTTCCTCTAGAGGGCTAAAGAATGCTGCTGAATCACTGAGATATCGGGATATCACAGAAGGAAATAAAGTGGATTAAAGGGTTAAAAAGCCCAGTAACGTTGGGCTATAAATGTTTAAATACAGGAGAAAATGCAGATCCAGACTCCAGATCCAGTTTTTTTTAAGTCTGATCCCACACGAGCATTAGCATTAGCATCTCGTAACCCACAGGTCTGTGTCCTAACCATTAAGTTGTTATTGTACAACAATTATATTGTACAAACCTATTTAACATCCACTATTTCAACATAATAATATTTATAGAGTCTAATTCCGTTTTTGCCAAATTCATCTCACTATTTTTAAATTAATCTCTATATTGCCATGAAGCAATTAGGATTTTCTTGCCTGGGATCTTCCTATTGGTGACCTAATCAAAATGGCTAACCCTAACCCTAACCCTAACCCTAACCCCACCTAATGGCTGCCTAACATAAGCTCATCAGAGCTCATTTAGCGTACCGTCGTTGAACGCGGCTCCTTTGGCGAAGCTGATGAAGCTGGCCCCGCCTTTGGAGGTGAGCGCTGCGCTGCGATTGGACGCCGGCCGGAGGCTCCGTTTCTCGCAGACGGCGGCCAGCGCGGGGACGCGGGACGCCAGGGACCCGGGAACGGCACAGTCGTAGACTTTGGGCTGGTTTATCTGCAGCTGCTCGCCTGTGGAGCCAAACGAGGAAAAAAGCCGAGTCGGTCGCATTCAAAACGAGGCTTTCATCCATTATGGTAACTCCTTATTCCCTAATGGGGTCTCAGGGGGGGGACACACAAGGACCAACAACAACCCAGAGGGTTCTGGGTTGGAGTCCCCGGGGGAACCAGGACCAGAGGGTTCTGGGTTGGAGTCCCCGGGGGAACCAGGACCAGAGGGTTCTGGGTTGGAGTCCCCGGGGAACCAGGACCAGAGGGTTCTGGGTTGGAGTCCCGGGGGAACCAGGACCTTTCTGGGTGGTTCTGCATGTTCTCCTGTGTCTGTGGGTTCTCTCCGGGTTCTCCGGCTTCCTCCCACCCTCCAAAAACCTGCATGTTAGGTTGTTGGACTCCAAACTGCCCTTAGTGTGAGTGTGTGTGGTTGTTGGTCCTTGTGTGTCTCTGTGTGTCCCTGTGATGGACTGGGGACCGTCCAGGGTGACCCCGCCTCTCCCCATTGGCTACTGGGATAGGCTCCGCCCCCCTATGACCCCATTAGGGAATAAGGGGTTATGATAATGCAGTGTTTTTCAACCCCTGTGCCTCGGTACACTATAATGCCGCGAGTGATGGTCAGGTGTGCCGTAGAAAATCATCCTATTTCACCTAATTGGTCTAAAAAGATTTTTTGATAAAGAATTAATTATCTGCAAATAATATTCCATTTTTGAGTGTCTGTGCTGTTCTAGTGACTGGTGACGTAATCATGTAATAATTCCTTATGACTAGATTTTGTATATAATTTTGTATATTGAAGTGGACATGTTAAGTGCAATTCGAAAGA